ATAACAATAATAATAATGATAATAACAAGAATAATAATAATAACAATGATAATAACAATGATAATAATAATAACAATGATAACAACAATAATAATAACAATAACAATAATAATAATAGCGGAAATTAGTTAGCTTTATTAAATTAAAAAGTTTTTGTAAACCAGGACAGATTATTATGTATTTGTTCATTTAAAGAAATTCTTAGTAATAAGTTAATCTTGTGAGGTTGGTAATCAGGTTCTGACTACTGAGTCATTTTTTTTGCAACGGAAAATACAGAGGAAGTCATTTTTACTAAATAGCATTGTGAACTTAAATCAGAATTTCATTTGTCTCGCGTATTAGGAAATAAAAAAATCTTTTTGCTACTAGTAAAAATGCATTTTCTTCCAGTAACAAAGCGCATTTTTCATAGCAGTTTATGAAGTTATAAAGCGAAAAAACTCTTCAGCCATTAATTTTGTAACCTTTGTTGTCAAAGAGTATTAATATTTTTCTTGTTAGATCAAATCATTAAATTCTGAAGGTTATAAATTTATATTGTACTTTGTAACCTGTAAAAGAAAAGTTTCAGTCATAGTTTTGCGGTGCCATAATGAACATCAGATCCAACAATTTTTAGGTGGTAGGAAACTTACCAAAGACACTTTTTAGCTAATCTGGAGAGCTTGTTTGACCTGAATGAGCTTTACAAAAACTTCTTACTTTTTGACTCCGCAGTAGTTTCAAATTCAAAAAATCTTCAAAGTTTTTTTTTTAATTAAACCTTTTTCGTTGAAGGATTTCCGTTTAACTGTTGAAGCGCAGTCAATATCCAACGACGCTGGCGCTTTTCTTCCAATGTGTAAAAGAGGAATAATTTAAATTAGTTGAAAACTTTTTAAAACTTGATTTGTTTATCAATAAAGATATTTTTTCGTACAAAAAGTCTTGATCATTCAGTAGAAAAATTTTTCGCGAAAATTCTGCAGTGTTCTGGCACTTTAGTTTTTAATAAATTGAACTTAACAATGCACAAACGAACTAATAAATTGGACCTCTTGCACTTTGACGGTCCCAACGCGCTTACTGGCTAATCGTTTTTTAGCGGGGAAGTTGAAGGAGGGGACAATGAAGGGAATAGCGATAAGGAGAAAGGGGACGGCAGCAATGAACAAGGGGGCAGTGAAGGGGGAGCAACAAGGCGGAGGGGAAAACAACAAAAAGGAAGGGGAGAGCAGCGAAGGGAAGAGGAGAACGGCGGCGGCGTATCAAGGCTGAGCAAAGCATAGCTCCTTTACTTATTTATATATATCTTAAAATGACCGCATTATGAGGCTGGCATGGCGCAACAGCATCTTCTTGCCTTTAGTGCCGTCAGTCCATGTCTCCAATTTGGCAGCCGTGCAATGTACTTCTGTACAGCCAAACGTTCTGCACGCTTTTAGGGTCAAAAACGACAGTTCATTGTGTACTCACCTCGTTTTGAGGAAGGGCGTTTTCTGCGCTGTAAGTGTAAACTTCTTTTAAAATTTGAACAGCGCCATTAACCAAGGTATGAGACGGAGGAGACGCTCTTGCACTCCTACATGGATGAATTTGTCTAGAAAAAAGTATTTGAGGACAACGCCTCGTACCACCTATGGCAACCGCTTCGTGTGGCTTTGTGAAAGTGAGGGCTTTTTTTATTGGCTCCTGATCGATCACATAAACGGTCGTCCAATTTTCGGGGCACTTATCTTTTGATTTCCCTTTCATCCCTTCATTTGACAAGCATTAATGGAGTTCT